ATATATATATATATATATATATATATATATATATATATATATATATATATATATATATATATATATATATATATATATATATATATATATATATATATATATATATATATACTTTGCATCTCGAATGATAACTAGTACAGGCCATCATACTTGATAGAATTAAATGGTAAGATATGGGTGTACATTTTACTACGGGGTTCGATCTGTCACAACTTAGTTTGGCCATAGTCTTCTACTTCCAACCTATACGTATCGCTACAGTCTGCTGTCTCACACAGAACGACACGACCTCATCACCTTAAGCACATGCTGTGTCAGGGACCGGAGGAGATTATTTTGAGAAATTCGCATGTTGCTCCACCTTTTAAAAACTTTTTTTTGCAAAGCTTCTCTAATCATGCGAAATGATCATTTTATCTCTATCTTTATTAGATCTGTTATCGTCATCACTATATATCGCCCCTTCCCCCCTCCCTTCTTTGCCTATAGTTGATGACGAAGGGAGCTTGCTAGCAACGATGAACAAGTGAAGGTGCTCACCCTATCACATGTCCCACCAAACCCTATTATGGTGAGAGGAATATGTAGATCTCGACGACGAGAGGTCTTACGAGTGATGGAGGCAATTGCTATGCCCTGACGAGGGCAAGGCCTCCATTGTTGATCACCACCTTCATACACGATTGCACTTGCGTTATAGGTGATAAACGACGAGATGAAAACACGGCCAAGGCTACGTAGAGCACCATTGCCAACAAAGGTAGAATTATTATTTTTTAAAAAGAGATGTTTTGTGAGAATTTCTTAAAGTTAAAGACGTTATTCGAGAAATTTTCAATATTAAAATTTTTTAAAAGAATTTTCCATATATATATATATATATATATATCTTGATTTGAAATATATCAAAACAAAAACAAAAACTCTTTCGTCCTTTGTCTCTAAACACTTTTATAATCCGGATCAAGATAACTTAACGAGTTTCACACTTTGGACATTCCCACATCATGTTATGTCATGTCAAACGCATCGTCAACCTGACACATCGATCTAATTCACACTCACATAAACACCAACTCGACTCGACACCACTTGGGGCATCCAACCATTTCGATGTCGGTTGAAACCTATCGCTTCACTCACACAAACCCTACCGTGCAATAACTATAATGCTCATTATATATTTTCTTGATCGAGTAATAACAAATAATTCCATATAACTATTACTGAGATTAACTTCCCACTTTATTCCAATAGTTAAAAAGGCTTCAAATGCATTTCTAAGGACACTATCAAAGTATACATCTGACATGGATGTTTACCTCAATCAATCACAGTTCATAAGTAATGGTAAAGAATCCAAGAAGAAATATTTTATCAATATAATAAAATATATTTCTTTAGTTCAAACTCATTATAAAGACCATCAATTTACTGTTACAAAGATCAATTACTATTCACTCATGACTCAACTTTTCACCTCAATACTAATTCGAGCATCAATGAGTCCCCCGTGCAGACAACCCAGAAACGAGTCAAGTTGATTTAGACATCATCGACATCCACCACATCAACACCTATACTTCTCGAATCCAACTTTCTTATTGATCATCGAAGAAATGTTCATCAAACACACCCATAACAATTCGTAGGATGTCCCGCTAAACAATCTCACTCTCAATTGACTACAAACCATATTTGCACTAGCAAAACCCCAAGGCAAATGTTTCACAAGTGACCCAGATTAGATAAAGGATTTCTCCTGTACATAATTCATGGCCAAAAGCAACAAAATGAAGTTTTCAACTGCTCTACTCGACAAACGAACGATACTCTTTAACATTACTCAAAGAAAGTTGCATTTATAATTTACATGTATCTCTGATGCGACTACTTCAACAGTACGACACTGAATCTGTCTGAAACAAGTAAAAGACCAAACAGTGGAAAATGGTGGGAGGCAAAATATGAATTGCCTTCATTTTATTGGCATGATCGGATAACTAGGGATACCTTCAGGCCCCTCTTCTCCTAAACCCAATGACAAAATCAAACAACAAAAGAATGAGCAGTTACATGGAGACCCATAAAGTTGATGAGTCATCTGCAGATTGACACACACCAATAGAAGAGTTGAATGTGCAGAAACTCAACTAAGCATCACGCGATACCGACCTGAGTGCTGAGTTCATGCTAGCTGCCGGGTACCACAGTTAGTTCATTGAGTACTCACCAAATATATCCATACAGTCATCCCATTTCTGCTGATCCCTTGCCTCCCAGTATCCGCCTATATAACAGAACGTTGCATCCTCACTATCCCTTTGGAACCATCTTGGCTTCCACCCATTTTCCTGCAATTTTCTTGACTGCACCAAAAGATAAATTTGATCATGCATGCTGTGCAATGTTTAACACTAACTTCTGGAGAAAGGTAAAAGATTCAAAATTCAACGAAAGCACATGCCCTTGATAGATCTTTGCAATTTGACTACAACATGGAAGTTATTAACTAGAAGAGTATTCGTATCCAACAATGCATTCTTTATATGAAGCCTCTGCAGACTCTCAGGAATCTGCATGTTTATTGTAGGTTCTGGCAATCAATGCTAGCAGTCCTATCAGTTAGCAATTAGTTAGCAGTGAGTATTTTCCACACGGAATTCAATCCAGAAAAATCCGTGTGAATCAGGATGGCATATCATAAAATGTAATAGAATACTACAGTATAATTGAGATATCAAGAAACAGCAAAGCCACATTTATATGACTATTTAAGCTTAAGAATATTGTGAGTGAGGACTACCATTCGCTGTCTCTTCTCCAATCGCAGCTTTTCTGTATTTGCCTTTTCATACTCCCCATTCTCAAGATACCGCTGATCTGGCCGCAGTCTTGAATCAGTTGGTGGAAGTTTTTCCTTGATTTATGACCAAACATTCACAATGAGATCAAAGGAAAATATAATTAAATTAACAAGATAAAAATATGATATTTAACAAGTAAATTGCATCTCATATCTACCTTCAGTTCCGATGTTAGCTCATTTAATGTAATAGCAAATGATGTCAAGTTGTATCGAGTGGGTTCAGTAGGAGGCTTATTCCTTTTCCACAGCAGATTTGCATTCTCTGTCGAAACAGAGCTCTTGGTCTTCAAGATTTCATCGCCAAACGAGAAGTACATGCTGTCATCCCATTTCCCAACCAAAGTAGCAACTTTTGATCCGTTCATAGACTCAACAAAGCCTAGCACCTTTGTAGAAGAATGTGGCCCCAGTCACTAGAAGAACTTGATAAGACTGGACTAAATGCAGCAAAATCTCATTCCTTACTTGGTGAGGGTTGCGGTCAAGGAGCGACTGCTCTTTGAACTTTAGTTTACAAGAATATTGCCGGTTACCCAGGATGTTCATTGTACCATGGTGATTGCAGTGTACTTTTCCGAGGATCAGGTTATAGATAGTCGTTGTGACCTAAATGGAAACCAACTGATACATTTGACAGGGCAGAAAAGTATCTTTCTCCGGATGATACTTGTTTATGAAGTCTGTGTGTGTGTGTGTGTGTAGAATGACATGACAAAAAGAAGCATGCAACTCTTTTATGACAAAAGTGATTTTCTTGAATTGTGAATATGTTTAACAAGAAAACAATATTTGTTTTATTTACAGAAAATTTGAGATTATGAATAATTTTGCATGGTAATACATACCTTACTCCACTGAAAAATTTCGCCATCATCAAATTCCAAGGTTAATACACCAAGGGGATCTAGTTGTATGGATTGTCCCCGGAACTTACTCCTGAGATTGCTGTCTCCCCAGAATTTCCAACCTCTGCCTTCGCAATGGCAGGCAATGAGCATAGGATGGTGGCTAACCTAGTGGAATAGTGAGAAACCTCAGATTTTTTATATCTTATGAAGTAATGCCACAGAAGGTTGCATAGGGAAATAGAAGAGCATATATGTGTCAGCTAAACTAATTCAATATGATAAGTAAGCATATATAACATGAACAAATTAGAAAATCTCTAATTCATGAAATAAATATTCAATTGTTGATTTCTATCATATGATTTAATTATTAATTTCTAAATTTCAGTTTTTTGTTACAAGATAACTTCTCTTTCAGCCTTGATGTGAGAAAATATCTAGATTTTGTTTGTAGATAAATTTTCTGACAACAAAACGAATTTTGAGAACTCGAGTAAATATTCATCATTCCAAAGGCAGCATGTCCTAATATGTTTTGAGGCAAGCAAAGAACACCATGTCACATTCATATAAATAAGCAAATGAAGCGTCCATCAAGTTTCTTATGAAATGTTAAAGATCTAATTGTTGAAGCACTTCTGCTGCTGCCAGATTTTTGTTCTCAATAGAAGAATATTTGAATACAAAATCATACTCAAATTTAATAATTGCTAAGTATGCCATGCACATTTCTGAATCATCAACACTTCTGGATCACAGGGCAGAAACAAACTAATATATGCATTAATTGATAGTTGAAAATGGTAGTTAATTTGCAGACTGCATACACCCATGAAATTTTCACAAAAAAGGATTTGAAGTATCCAAACCATTTCACTTGAATTAAGAAAAATGCCTGTATAAGTCTTTCATTGACATATTTTTTTCGAATGTTTCTTTAATTTCAAATTCATTTCCTGAGTGATCTTGATCATGCCAATCTGACCCGACCAATTACATCAATCCCAAATCATAAACTTGCAAACAACACCTATAGCAACCAAGCATATTCATGAATCCCAAAAAGGCTTGAATGTACTCCACTTATGAACATAACTCCACATAATATGTGCTGTACTTCATGAATCCCAAAAAGGCTTGAATGTACTCCCCTTATGAACATAAGTCTACATAATATGTGCTTTGCTTCAAGCATGCATCCAAAAATGATAACATATTTACTAGCAGTACACATTGGAAAGATAACAAATGAGCTTTCTGGCTTGATTTTAGTTTTCATGAATAGAGAAACTCAATCAATAAATAGATATATATGACTCTTCTGTTACTCTGGATAATTTCTCAGTAATTTGATAAACTTTTATAATTTTATGAAAATGGTAAAGCAAATCACAACAATGAGACTGTGAGATCTTCATACCATAGTCCAAAACCTACCTTTTCAGCAAAGAAACGGACTCCTTTTTCAGGGTAGTCAGCTTCATATGTTTCTCCTAACAAAGGATTGAAAGGTTTGCAAAGGCGGCCATCACAAGAAGAATATCCAGAGACTGCAAAGGCAGCTACATTCAGAATCCTCATGAGACCATTCCCCTAAATACAAAAGTTCAGCATAAGAAACACAAATTAGGTTGAACAGGAATTTTGCAATTATAACCATGTATATGCTACCTTGCCTATTGGATATCACAAATTAGCTTTAAGACTTGTGCAGTACTCAAATGACAGATACAGATTTATTCCAGGTATTAACTTAAGTATTTGGTTAGAGACACTGCCATTTTTACTTAGCATACAGAAATATCACAAAGAACAACAGAATTTGAGAAACAGTTTATTTTATGCACATGGATTCCATCACAAATTATAACAAAAAAGAACAGATCACTCTTGTCAAATATGCACATGGACTCATATTTGCTACCGTCATTTCTAGTTAATCTAAATCTTATCTTAAATTCTTTTGGACATTGCTAATATTCTAAGTGCCAAATGTTCATCATTGATATGTTTCTTCACAAGGTGTTATAGTAGGCTTTCTGATACTTTAATTTAGATTCTTTTCTAACCCTTTAATTTCATCATGTAATGCACTCCAAATAATTGGGATATTATGACTTGTTATTGTTGTAGTTGATACCTCCTAGGATTTACATTGTCAGAATGGAAGCTCACATTCATGCATCATTCTCTATCAAGCCACTTAATCTGTTTTAATTATAACCCCTCTTTTGATACTTGCCAAAAATTAGAATGATGTTTTGGCAAGAACAAAGAAATTTTTTTGCACCCCACTATTTGCATTCTCATGGCACTTGCTTACTGACATGTAACTAGAAGATCTTTGTTGAACACTTGAACCATTGATAAATTATACCAGCATGACCTTCAGTATCTTCACTTTAATCTTTTGGTAGTTAACTAACCAGCAGCTTGAGGGGAAACCTAGAATAATCTTGTACAAAGACATTATGCTATGTAGAGAATATATTCCAAAAATTTCCCGATAATGAAGACAGAAGAAGAATGAACACTTGAGAAAATACAAATAAGCAGAAATTGACACATGAATAAAACAGTCAGATCTATATCCTATGTCAAAAAAATTCTTAAATAACTGCATAACAAAATCTTTACTAGCTCTAGCAACTTCACGAAAAAGGGGGAAAAAGCCCAGCTAGTCTGCTTGCTAGCAAGATTGCTAAAACTTGAGCCGATCTGTGGAAGCCACTATGGATTTCTATGGACAGAATGAACTGTATTTATTGAAAATATATAAGATCAAATAAAGTCTGTAAACAAACATAAAATTTGTCACTTCAAAGTAAATTCTTCTTGGGAAAAGTGAATCAGCAAACTGAACAAACCATAGTAACTGTCAAGGACTCTCATTAATCTAATTCAATTAAGAAAACATAACTGATACTCCATACTGAATACAAAAAGAAATTGTTTCTTTCTAAACTAATTCAGCTATCAAATTTTCTTTGTTTGTAAAAAAAATTTCATGGGTTTTCTTGTACCCATTCTCACACTACCTTATTTAAGGGCTTCATCTATAGGTTTCCTTTGGATATATCAACATCATATTAAAAAAATTTTCACATTTTACATCTAATTTGCTTTATTCTTTTTTTTTTAATAATTCAATACATCCTTCTCCTTCTCAGCAACATTAACCTTTTGCATATGTTATATTTAACTACGCAACATTATGATCCATAATTCATAGCTAACATTTCACAATCCAATAAAATATTCCTAGTAATCTAAGGGACATATTATGATCACACAACACTCCTAATACCCTAATTCACCTTATCCACGTTGTTGTAACCATGTGGACTATATCTTCATTAATATTCTCATTCTATCAAACAAGCCCAAGATACTTTTAGAAAAATTCTTGTACATCTATTTTAGTTATAATCATACCCTCTATTTTCTCTTGATATTGCGAAGTCACAATTAAATTTTTTTATCTTAATTCCACTTGATCTAAAGCTGTAATTGTACTTAAAAGATTATTCAATTTGCAAAACAAATTTTAGTGAAGGTTCGAAAGCATTCAATAAAATGATGAATGAATAAGAGTTACAATAATTTGCAATACTTTATCCATTTTTAATCTATGAAGAAAGGCATTAATAAAATTTGGTTATATTTTCCGTACAACTATATATTTAGTAGAAGTTAAACAGTCTAAATAATTAAATGAAAGAATGGCAGGACAGAGTTATTTGTTGCTCTTAAATTATTGAAAAGATCTTTGAAAGTCCAGCAACACAAGAATTCCACTCCAAGGATGTAGAAGTATAATATACTACCTTTTTTCCGTGTTCATATGCTTGATCCAATAGATATGAGTACTCCAGGTCTTCAAAGCACTTCTGAAGCGAAGATAATGGTTCATTAAAGTAAACAGGAAGGCATACTTTTGTCAGATCCTTCCCAACATTATCTTTAATTATTGACCAAAGGCTAACACCTTTTTCCCTCTCAATAGGTTTTGGTAACTTCGTACGCCTTTTAGTATGCAGCAACATATTCTGATAATTTAGCTGCCCTTCATCCATTATATTGTTATCACAACAGTTATTCTCTATTCCAGAAGTCCTATCAGAATCACCTGAGGCTATTACTTTAGAGGCAGAATCACCGAAGCATTCACTTGTATCAAAAAAGGAAAATTCATCTTCATCTGACAAATCATCAAGCTCTTGCTTTTCAACATCATCAGATGATTCAGTTGTACTGTACTCTGATAAAAAAGACAATATAAGAAAACAGACATTTGAAGACAGACTTTTAGTGACATATGACAAACCAGAATCCTTTTAGTTTATAATGATAAATACCAAGAAATTGATAGGTTAATTGTATCATCTCATTCCTAGTCTCTAAATTCATATACTTCAAATCATAATTATTCCCTTGGTTCCTATTCATTATATTTGATTTCAATTTATCCACTGTTTTTTTCATAAACATACTGGTTCTTTAAATGTATTTGACCAAATTATGAATGACTTAATATGAGTAGGAAAGTTATTACATCAGAGGTAGTTTTATGCAATAGACATTTAAATCATCATTTTTCCTGTACTTTATGGATGTTTGACAGAGAGCTTGACAAAGTCTGTGTGGGAAGCTTTGCTCATCCCTATAAAGTTAAAAAGTGAAAAAGTGAGATATCTGATACACTCAGAAACAGGGAACATTTTGCTGAATCACACAGACATGCTGCCAAGTATCAACCCTACCAAGCAAAATTAGGCTGCATATCACTGATGGCTTGGTACAGCTACTAAAGTTCAATTCTTATGCTTTTTGGTTTAGAGCTGAGACTGATTCACCAAGTGAACCAATTGAAGCTTGTAAGTTGTGACTTGAAGCAACCTAGGTGCTTAGCTATGATATTTAGATGCCTTTACCAGATGGGGTTGCTAGTTTCTTTAACTAGTAACAGAGATGAGGATGGTTTTTTTTTTTTTATCTTTTTGCTATTCCATTCTTCCTCTCTCTTCTCTTTTTTTCTAATAAAAAAATTTCAAATGGCCAAAGAGTAGTTCCAAAGCCTCCAAAAGCTTAAGCTAATAGAAGAAGGACCAAAATTCCACATAATCAAGTAAGCTCTAAAACCAACACCCCACCCCAACAACAACAGAAGATGAAGAACAAAAAGAAGGAGCCATCCAAGGTGATTAAGAGTAAAATGCTTAGTGGGCTTTGCATGTTCAAAGCAAAATATGATAGTTTAAGCCAAAAATAGGGTAATGGGATTCTCAATAGACCCAGACAAGGTGAAAGATAAAGAAAAAGAAGCAGAAAAAATAGATACAAGTTTCAGACACATGACGCACTCTGACAGCATCATGAAATATTATTTTGTTGACTGCTCTTGCCAAAAGCATAAGCAAGTAGGAAACATACCAAAATTACACAATATTTAGCATTACCAAAAAGTATCGACAACAAAAATACTACTGCTTGACAAATTGAAACTGGAGTTGGAAATACCATTAAATTTTACATGTGCAGAGCTTGAATAATCATACTTGGTTAACTGCACTTGAGCTTCACTAATTCCCACATCTAAATCAACTTCCTGCAAATATAAATATTTTTAGAAACGATATATTCAAGAAACAAAACAGGTTTTTAAACCTATGAAAGAAAAGGAAACTGTCCCTGGCCCCCTAGCAGGGGTATAGTATCCTGTATAGACCAATAAAATTGCAAAAAATTGTGTATATCCTTGCAGATATTACTAACATACTGTATATCCTCCAAAAACATTTCTGCCAAACGCCTATTAGCTATTTATTAAAAGTGACTATTGTATCCTCTGTTTGAAAGAACTCACTATGAAAGGCTTCAAATGAATTTGATCCATTAAATGTTGACATGGCATGGATCTAGATCATGCTAGGACTGACATGGTACCAACATTTTGCAGCAACACAATGCTGATAAGGTGATGATATGTCAAACACATGAACATGATGTCAACAAATTTTGACCTCTATGCACCATGTGACAGCTACATCATGATTGCGAAATCATCACTATTGCACTGCCATATACATGCTGTATAATCATTGCCACATCATCCCCATGGCACCTGATGCTAACTTCAGGATCATGTGGCAATGATATGGTGGCCATGTTAACAGCATTATTTTTTGTTTGCACGAAGGCAATTTGGTCTTCTATCATGCATCATTTAATTAATCATACATTTAATTAGATTTAACTCAGATAAGTAACAGTTAATAATGAAAATTAACAATGGGGATAACTGGTGAAAAGGTTGTAAGAGTATGCAGGGCATTCTAGATGTTTGCAAATCATAGGGGTATATATATATAATTATATATACTTAATACTTACACCATACCATATTGGGTACACCAGAAATTGCCTATGGAAAATATCTGTAAGGTAGAAGATCTATAACATCATTAAGACAACTTTTAACGGAAGACCACGACAGCTAAACAATTAGTTAGTGTACCTTATTATTTAGCAGTTTCAGAAAATTCTAACATAGAATTACTATCCAGGAATCCACGAAACTTCAATAGACAAGCTCAATACAGAAATAGCAAGTTCGGTATAGGGAACAATCTTCATCACCAAAGGAAAAAAGGGCCAGACAAATAGAACATGATCCATGTGCTTTGAGTATGAACATCTCAAAACAAAAAAAAAGGATCCTTGGAATTTGACTATTCAAAAGAAAGCAGCTGAATTTTCTAGAACATATGCCACTATGGAAAAGCAGCAAACATCATATGCAACTGTGAACATATGCAACTATGGGAAAGAGCAAAGTCATAATTTCAAAGCAAAATAATTACTTCACCTTATTTTGCATAAATAAGCAGACAAACAATACCTTTAACACCTGGAAAGAGACCAGATTCAATTTGCAAAGCTAAAACATAATAAGAAAGCATGCACCTCAAGTTAATGGATAGAAAGCAACATTATTATAGCTTATGACATATTTGGGCATTTTCCAGTCAATGCCATCAAAATCCAACAGTATCTGAAAAGGACAATTCCTAAAATAATCTGCTTATGATTCAATACGTTTTTTATGTACTTGGACTATTACAAACAATAAACGAAAGGATGACAAATGACGCTCAGAAGAACTTTTCGTTTCCCATACTAGTAAGTCTAATGATCTGCAGTCTTCTCCAAAGTAAAGAACTAATAAAAATAATGCTGGTTGAAATACTATAGTGAACTAGCAAAACAAAGAATATCATCTAAGTCTAAGATACTAAAAATAATCAAGCCACACGTTGTTGACTTTGTTCAAAAAGTACCTCCAGCTGCCGATGAAATGTACTAATAGAGCTTAAGTGCTCTTCATATTGAAGCTTCAATTGTCTGTGATACTCAGAAAACTCTGAATGAATAATCTGCTCACAGTCCCTTATGAGTGACTCATCCAAGCCCTCAACTTGCATTCGAGCTCTAAGCTTTTCAGTTGAAATCGATGCATCATTTGGAATGAAAGATATTTCTCTACGTAATGCAAATTCTTTTGTTGCCAAAATCAAAGCCTGAATCCAGGCCACACGGTCTATGCTCGAACGGGTCCTCAAGCGAAGTGTCTTTGTTGGAGAAAATATATAGAATCTTCTGTCATCTGTCTTACTTTCACGAAATGATGAGACCTGAGGCAAGTACAAAATAAATTCATTAAAACCTGAATGACAGTATGCTTCATGCCAAAGCGGCATGTTGCTTCAAGAATCTGCTCTATCAACAAGTTCCATTAGTATCACATTTCATGCATGCCACTGGCACACATGAAGCAGGTTATCGCACTTCATTGAAAAAGGTGAAATATGCAACATGTTCCATTCATCACAAAGTGCTCTGCTCATTATTTTTTGAAATAAAGTAGGATATGACCAAGAAAAAAAACTTCACAGATAGACAGAAAGAAAATAGATGTAAGAGGAGAAACAGAAAGACAATAAAACCAAGAGATTCAAAAATACTACAAAATCTTAGATTGAAAATTTTTCAACACTCGAAACCTAAAACAACTTATATGAAGATTAAAAAGCAATAAGGTCAACAACACATTTGATGCTTCAAAGCTGGAAGTGGACCATCACGTTGACAGAGATGTAAGGTAAAGTAATTGTTCAAAAAGGATTTATTGAAATCATGATTCACCTTTCCGGTCTGTATAGGAATATCGATCGGTCGTCGGTACAGTATGTACCGAACCATACCGATGTACCGACACACAGTATAGTAGGGCGTACCAACAAACCAATATATACCTCTCATATCAGTTCCCTATCAGACTGGTTCATACCGCCCATACCAGACGGTACGTTACGGTATGACGAACTTTAATTGAAATTATGAAGCAGACAAAATAATAAGAGTGCCAAGTAAACTTATTGTTCTTTGAGATACTTTGTTATATAGATTGTATCATAACAAAGTACCAATTAAATAAATATGGCTCCATGCAAGCATATCAAGACTAATAATTTAAATATCACAAAAGAGTATTCATGCTTTGGTTGATATCAAAATAGTGCCAACTATGTTTAAGAACCTAAAATTAAATTTGGTCACTCATGTTTCAGGTACTACATATAGATACATAATGATAACATGAATAAGAGAAACATAACGGCACACGATTATTAATGGAATGAATGCCTTAGCGGCCCATCTTGTAGCCTAAATTCTTTGGTCCTAGAAAACATTTTTGAGCAGATTGGTCACAAGAGATTAATTTAAAACTGATGTATGGTTACAAATGAAATTTCATCCTAGATGTTCATCCAGGTTTTATTCATCACAGAAAGAATAAGCTCTTCCCTACTAAGTTACAAAGTAAAAGTTTCCTTCACACAAGCAATCGTTTTTTTCTCTCAAACAAGCAAAAATGTATGGTGCCTATGTTTAACTTTGGTGTGCTTCTATTTTGTCAAAGACCAAAAGAGAATTCAAAATTCATTTCAGCTTTCCAGGCTGGAGTGATCAAGCAAGTTAGTGGCAAGTTCATATTTCAGCATGAAGATCATAGAAGTTCAAACTGTTGGACCCGCACTTGCAAACTACTACAGTATTTCCAGTTAAAAAACATAATAACCTAGACTTATCACTTAAATATGTCCCCCCGAGCACTATAACCTGTCAAAAACTGCTGCTTTACCTTACAATATTGAGTTGCCAATAGGTTCGTTAGAGTAAATATCATCAGCACTTTGTAGCGTTTATCCAGAACTGGTAAAACTATTGGTCTCAAACAACACTAAATTACGTACAGGCAAACCACTCTATGTGACCACATTTTGAGAATCATTAATCTACACCAACGAAATACGCTAAGACAATAAAGAGTGTTCATTGCTCCCTACCATTTTAACAAAAGTTTTCTTTTTTAAGATCGGAAGCATAAGCAAAAAACACTCTTAACCATAGGCCCTGCAGCTTCATCAAAATAAAATAACAGCAATAACAATGATAATAACAATATATTATTTTTTGCGCCTCCTAAGTCATAGGGCGGACTCTTATTCGGAGGTGCCTCCTCCATCCAGCGTTCGCATACACCTTCCGATCGTGGATTTAACATGGGGGACCAAAAACCACCAACGAAGAAGCAGAAGCTCGATCAATTCTCACACGAACGAAGAAGGTGCGAAATTTCTCGGTAACAACGCGTCTCAAAGCTGGGTTGCTTACTAAAACAGAGTCCAAAGTGCACGAACGAAGAGATCAAACGACAAGGAAGAAGCAGCGCAATGAATCAACACGAACCGAAGAAGGGATTCAACCGGATCAAGACACATAAAAACACCCATGGGTAAAGCAGAGCTAAGAGAATGACGTAATGGGGGGGTGGGGGGGGGGGAAACCAAAGCGGAAGAAGAGAACAAACAATAAGACAGAGAAACAAGAACCAGCCTCGGACTGCTTGCTTGCTTGCGTCAAAGAATCCAATCGCTGAGGCCAAAGTCCAGCTGTCGCTGCTCTCCTCTCTGCGCCCTTGTGGCAAGAACAGCAGCCGCGGTACGGGTCGCCCGTTCCTGATTATTTATATACATATCCCCGTTGGCCTAAGCAAAGGGGACAGACACCACCCATCGACCTCACAAGAGCAAACGAGACCGCTCCACCGTCGATGCCCTCGTCTCCCTCTGCCTCTCCTACTTCAAGATACAGATTCCCACGCAGCTATCAACGCCAACAGCCAAGGTAGGAGAGGAGGAGACGCGACTTCCGACCCCCTGTTCCTTCGCCCAGCCAAATGATGCGACCCACCCTTGCCAGTTTTAGCCAGTGGCAGGCCGGCACATGGCTCGCTCTCGGCGTCTGGCTTCCGAGGCTTCATCCCAACCGCTCATTCGATTTAGTAAATGAATTTATTTAGAAGCGACTGTTTCATCTCCTTTTTCTTCTCATAAAAATTTCGATTTAAATGCATTAACCCAATTCGAATCAGCCGACGATCACATTCCTACCATCCGACTAAATCAAGAAACGAAATATTTATACTTGGAGCGCCGTTCAGGTGATCGATCGCTTCCTCGCTTACCTTCAGATGAACGACGCGCACCGGCTTCCGGGCCCTACGGCCGCCCCCGTGGGAGAAGAGAGCGGCGGCGCTCCCGATGAGGCGGACCCCGCCGCCGTCGGGCACCAGCGGCGGGTCCCCGCGGCGGATCTTGGAGTAGGACAGCACGCCGCTCTGGAGGGAGAACCACCGGTACCGCCATCCCTTGCCGATGTTGGTCCACTTGCAGAGGACCCCGGCGACCGCGACGGAGAAGCCGTCGCCGTAGCCGTCGCGCCCGGGCGGCGGGTGGGCCGGCACCGGCGGAGACCGCCCGCCGAGCTCGGGGCAGTCGATGGAGATGCAACAGAGGGGGTGCGGCATCTCCCGCGCTCGCATCGCGATCGAGGATTGCGCTCCGAAAACTGGGTGCGATGCGGGGGGATTTATCCGGCTAGGGCTTCCACGTCCGTTCGCGGTCTGGCGGAGAAGCTTCGGAGGAAGCGGGGAAGGTGCGGTTCTTATATGGTATCAGCCTTCGGCCTTCATCCTGCTGTGATGCCTGTACGCGAATTTCTCGTGATAGGGATGTGCGCACGCGAAGCAGAAGAGGGAGAGGACGGAGGGAAGACGAGATTTTTATGCGCTTCAAAGAAACGTAGGACGTCGCTACTGTTACTGCATGTTGATGTATCAACCAAGACCTAATTGTAATCAGAACCTGGAAATGAGCCCCATTAGTAGAACAGGGGAACATGACAGGTGAGTTAGAAGGCAGTTGAAACTGAGTTAGGGACCATTCTTGGAGCTTATGTTTGTGATGCTTCAAATCTTACATTTGGACTGAGTTAGATTTCATCAAATCTTATATTTTAATGTTCTTTTTTACTTAGTCCAATCTTTTATTTTTGCAAATAATTCCTTAGGGGGCAAAATTAGATAGAGAATCTAATAATATCTGAAGAGTACATATTTGTATTATTATTATTATTATTGGGGTGAATTTCTAGAAAACTCTTCTTTTATTTTTTTCTCAAGAAGTGTCTCTTTTTCCATATTTGTACCTGATATAATTAATAATACAACTTGAATAGTATGGTCTAATTTCTTAATTATATATTTTTTAATAAGCTTATTATTTTTTAAAAAATATTATAAGTCTATTCAGAAATATGTAGCTGATGTGGACGTATCCCTATTTGGTTATTATTATTCCTAAATCAATAATGATATTTATTTAAAATTATTTTTATATATGAGTTGATGATAAGAAATATATTAATGACCAATCATTATCCATCACATAAGCGTTCACATGGAGACTATAAGGAAAAGATTCACGTCACTTTTCATCAAAGCTATCTATCTTTCTTATTGTTCATATGGATAAAACGGACATTGGAGCGGTTATAGATTGTGTCAGACCAAGTATAAACGCTACACTAGAAAGCTCTTTTTCTTTTAGAAAAAACTCATACCTACTAAAAAAATATTAGTCACTAACTTTAACAAAGAAAGGATTAGATCGAGAATTTTTTTCTGACATCAATCTTAGTGCAGGTGATGCCTCAAGAACCCGATACTTTCATCTCGAAACTACCTTGATCATCACCTTAGATGATCCTGTGCCTTCGGATTTAGATCACGTCATGTAAACTCCGATATCGATGATAATTTCCCCCAATAATTGATTTTTATTGAGTTTTGAATTAATTTACCTTAATTAGAATAAATAAAGTATAGAAGCATATTTAAAAATATTATAATTGATATTATAAATATTATACACGAGGGATTTATAACATGGTATAGGTGTTTAACATATTTACTCTGGTATTTTATGAATTATGATAAATAAGAGATGTGCTTTAAAATATTAAAAAACTTTAAAAAAAAGTTTGTTTTAGAAAAAAGGCACGCTATATATTAAAATGAAAAAATAGAATTTTTGTCGACGTCAATCAACCAAGATTTGGGCATCAGGATGAAAAGCATACCTAAATTATCACCCATTCGTGAACACACCATCGTCCTCCAAAGCAACGAAAGCGACTATCGAGGAAATGCATGGTGAGTCCCACACATGATGAAGATGATGAGAAGTCGATAAAAAGCGGAAAGCAACGAGACTTCCCACCCCGTACGCCCATGATTAGACTCTCGGTCATTGTTCCCAACAGTGGGGGACTGTTGATCGTCAACGCCCACTATATCGGCGAGAAGAACACGGTCGAGCGGGCGAGATGACGAAGGGGCGGATGCCACTTCGAGCTAGCTGAGATGACGGAGGAACGAGGCCGGCAGAATGATCACCTCCCCATGTGCCCTTGTCATCATCTGGCTCAACCCTGAACTCTCCCTCGAGCTTACGGTGGCGTGGCGTTGCCGAGCGATAAGTGCCATGGTCGCGGCCGCTGTACTCCTTTTCCACTACGGGGAACCAGTGGCCACCTTATCTGGAGATGGTAGGTCCAGGTGCTGCAGACAGAGACCAGAGCAAAGGACGTCCCTAGTTTTGATAAGATTTCTTCGGTGTTAATTGATTCAAGACTCTCTCTCTCTCTCTCTCTCTCTCTATTATTCTTTCTCTCTCTGCTATGATCAGGATTACCCTGTGTTACAGATGAACTGTAAAAAGCAGGAGACACCTTGTGCTTTGGAAATGTTTATCGGACTTGGCTATCTTCGGAAGGAAGAAAAAGGAAGCAAGAAAGAAAGAAATGGGGTTGGAATCTGCAGTCCTGTGGCAATTACACCATCATATTCTCCATGTTTATATTGCTTTTGTTGCAGGCAAAAAGAAGAGAGTCACCAAATGGTTGGGACATTGTGAAACAGTGGACTTGGTTTGCACTCCATGTTCTTGGACCTTGGTGGTTGGATGGCATGAATGGACGACACGGACTGTCGACAAATCGACATACGTGAACTATTTGGATCTGATCCCAACATGATATCTCAAATGTGTCTAAAGACCTCGTAGCGTCCTTTCAGGAGCAGTGATGGTGGACGCCCATGTTATCGTATCTACCTAATGGCATCTCGACCCAGGGAAAACTCCAGTCGCATGATTGACACGCACCCACTTTGCCAGCCAAATATGGATGAAGATGCACCAGCGTGCTATATGATTAACTGCAGCTATTCACTGCTGTTACAAAGAATGATAATGATAGCTTGACCAACAAAGCATGGCATCATGGTTGCACCAATGATCACAAAAAAATGAGGTAGGGATGCAGGAAGGACATGCCATGGTCTGTGAAGCTGTGACATTTATTGATCATTTACAGTGAATCTCGGCAGCTGTCTGCATGTTCTTCCCCAGCTTGCATTGCATCGCATTGCTGGTCCACTGAACTAAAGCAGTCAAAATCAACTGAACTGGAGACCTAATCAACCTTATTAGTACAGAGAAGAAGGCTTTGATGTTTGTAGGTTGGTATTTGTTCAAATGACTTACGGTCAATGTGAGATTCGCACAGCTTGGGGACTTTGAAAAGTTCAACCTTCGTTGCATCGTGAGATGAGGAGAGTACAGTTTCCACTGGACTTATGGTTGGGAGAAAACATGAAGGATTCCTGTGAGTTTGCAGTAGGGTAATATACTCCATGGTTGATTAGCTACCGGGATCTCTCTCGGTTCTTGTGGTCTTTTACCAACTCTCCCACAGCTGGAGAATCTAAAGACCGAGCTTTGGGGCATCTTCTGGTGCTTCAGGTTTCCCTTCTTGTCTTGTAGAGAGCTTCTGTTTTGAATTGATGTTCACATCCAGTGAGGGCCACATCGTGAGTGGAAGATCCACCATTGGAAGATAAGGCCTTGAAAGATGTTGACTACACTTCTGAGGTCGCATATTGTGCACCAACCAATTCTTGCATACCAAATTACCTCTTTCTTTTGTTATGTCATAAATGGAGTGAACGAAGCGACTTTAAGGAGTCCGGTTGGCATACAGATTTCTGCATCTATAGACGGAATGTTCCAAAGGAGAGACTTCCAAGTTGATGTTCATTCAAATCTATTTCTTGTTTCTGGTGATGAGATATGGAGTATCCTTTCTCCTGTGGTTGTGTCTATCTTATCATGGGCACGAATATTATCTGTATATGCCTTCCAAATCTGGAGTCTTTGATGCACAAGCTTTTGCATCAAGTATGAAGGTGAGAAGGACCGGTGCTCCTTATGTCTTCTATTCTGGCTTCCTGTTAACATCAAACAGCAACCATCACTGGTTAAATTTAACATAAGAGATCAAAGGAATACAAGATGGTAACAGATTGAACAACAAAAATTTCTCATAGAAAAACCTAATGATATATGACTATAATATCTGAACATTTTAGCCTATAGTTGGCTTATGATTTCACACTGGCATCCCTTCTACTTGTTGCATCAAACAAAGGACAAATTAGAGGCTAGAGAAAACTGCTGGAAGCTTGTCAAAAACTCACCCATGGTTTTGATGACAGCGCACACATTCGACTATCCAAAAAGGTTTTAAAGAGAATGAGTTACAGCAAATGCAAGAATCTGTTAACTGAGATGATATGTATAATACTATGCAGAATCAGCTCAAGTAACTGAAAGCTCTATGTTACAGAATTTAAGCCTAAAATTTTGAACTCGAAATCCAGAAATGCAAATTTGACACTTTAGAAAAGTATTAGCACCTTCTACCGATGGTTTAAGGCCTTGGTTGAGCGCCTACTTCTAACAGGAACCACCCAATTTTCCTCACTGGTCCTGTGAGACCTCTTCTTCCCAAGCTCATACTTTATGGCATAGAGATCCTCACAGATTTCATGCCTCGAAAGAGAGATGATCCCTGGCAATATATCCTTCTGGAAATCCCGCATTCCCCTACCTAGCTTAAACTTGCATACGTCCTTCCTAGTCTCATTGTCAATTTGTTTGGCGCAGGTTGAAATTCCATTATCTCTTATCTCCTCTAGATTCAGTGTTCCCATCTCAAAAGAATCAGAAGACTGAGGCTGATCATTGCCTTCTTCACAATAAAATTCCATCCGCCCATTGTTAGTCAATTGATCCACCGAACACAATGGCTTCTCTGAAGAAATAGATGCAAGTATCTCAGCTGCCTTGATAATTACATGATCTACCTCTACTAAAGCAAGCTGCTGTTCAGATATTTGTCCATCCTGTCTGCAGATACAGTCAGAGCCATTAACATCTGAAACCTGTTGGCCGCAAATCCTTTCGGGCATCACTGAGTCTATGTGTGTAGTTGCAGAGTTCTCTGATTTGGAGATAACTGCATGATCTACGACACTTTTTTCCTTTGAGGCCCATTCACTGTTTCCAGCTAACTGATTGGGCTTAAACCCAATAGGAGACTCCTTAAGTTCAATTTGTTGACATTCATCTGGAACTATGGCATGACTTGATACCGTATCCTCTTCACTCCCATCAATATTTGTCTCTTTCTCTGCCACATCTCCAGCAGCTTCTGGTGGCAGATCGGTGGTACTCCCAGCTGATGCATGCAAGCAGTTGTGTTCCCTATACTTACTGGAAATTAAAATATTCTTTTTCGAATCACCATGTACAACAAGATTAGGTGGGCTGATAAATGAGTCAATATTTTCCATTCCAGGTTCATGTAAGCCTGCAAGTACTGTCCTATTTGTACTGTCCTGGGCTCCCCCATTGTAGGCACTCGAAAATCTTTCCAACAAATTTTTGTAACATGCTTCGGGGATTCTGATGCCTGATCTGCAATCTTCATTATTAACAATGCACTCTTTGTAGTTCCAAATATTCTCTATGGCATTATTATTCTGTTCAGAAGCTTGTACCGAAGAAGGATAGGAATCTATATGTTCATGAGGCAATGAGTCAGCACTCTTTTCCCTTGAATTTTCTGAACCAGGGGATACAACAGCAAGCTGATCGGTGACAGTGGATTCTTTTGCACTCCCATCTTTTTGTTCAGATTTGATGCTTGATACTCTCAAATCATCTCCATGGTGGACAATTGATGAACTTGTTGATGGAGAATGAAGTGTTTCTACAGTATTTGAAAAAAAAGTATTAGATTCATCATCTTGAGCTATGTTCAGGTCAATGTGTGTAAGTTTGTATTCTGGTTGTTTCTTCTTGGTGGGAAAATTGGGAGATACAGAGCCTCCATTTTCTTCTAATCCTGAACAAGTTCCAGCAAATATTAAGACATTGAGTAAAAACCAAAATAGTGACAGTTAGTGAAGCAAAGTAGCTTTCACAGTTGGCTAGAAGATGAAAATCCTGCTGGATGCCTATCTCGATAAGCCTGGCATTAAACGACAATTATAACAAGTTGTCAACATTCAGAAAAATAAAGGAAAAGAAGCATCCTAGATATTTCTTAAAAGGATGTTATCAGAACTAGGCTGGATAACTCCAGGTAAAATTTGTTATGAGAAACATGATTTTTTTTTTTTCAAGGCAAAATGCTATCTTCAATCTTCAAGTAAATGGTGGTCAGTCACACACTGAAACCAAGACTAACAAAACCAACCATAAAGACCAATTCTCAATCCATATAAATTCATACTGTCTGACCAAAATAAGTTTAACAGTCCATTCTTTATGAAGTTATCAGAAATAAAACACTCAAGGATCGTCAATAAAACTAACAGTATGAATCTTTAAATCACAGCTATAGACAGAAATTTTAAATTATTATCTTAATCTAAATACGTGGATTTAAGAAAACCTCAGTGTAAGCAAAACAGATATAAAACTAGTTAACGTTCCAATTTGACCACAATATAGAAAAGCTTCTAGAAGATAAATTTTAGTCCAGTGACATCCAAAAAGAAAACGAAAAGATGAATGGGTATTGAATATGTAATATTATTATACAAAACACATCACTAAAGTCTCTGTCGAGACATCCATATTGATAAGTATATTGTTACACTTACACAAGTGATAGGTCTCAGGTTCAATTCCACGTATAAGTGTCATGTACGTTATTTGATTTAATGAAAATTTCTTCTAATTAAAGAAAAAAGACTGCTAAAATTATATTCAAAAGTTCATTTAACAAGGCCAAACAAAACATCTACTCAGTTTTAAACAATTGCAGGTAAATAGACGTTTCTTATACTCTGCTAACCATAATAAACATCAAAAATAGTAGTGTGATCAACAAAGAACTGGGGAAAAGGGAGAAAAGGAAGAGAAAAGAAAATTTGTGGGAAACAGAAAGGCTATTTCATTAATTAGAAACTTGTTCTTCCAGACTTGCTTCATATATTGATAGGAGTTATGAAGATGATAGTTAGTCCTGTCATCTAAAAATTCTCAACAATTAATAAGAGTTTCAAAATATGATTCCTTACAGTAAAATAACTAGATTAAATTGTACCATAGTCTTATAGGATATACAAAATTGATTTGACGCATAACACAGACTTTTTTGTTGGCCTACTGAACCAGTCACTGAAAATAAAGGTGACCTCCTCAAATTAGCCAAGCAACACTAGGGGCTGAGAAAGATCTTATAAAGGATCCTCCATGACCTAAATTGATCTAACCACATGCTTTTTGACTCTATTGATATCGGCATTGATGAAATATGTAGGGATCCCAATCGGCATCTCAATTGATAGGCATAATAACAATGATATTATGTCAAATAAGCAATCCTTCAACAAACTGAAATATCATGTGAAAGAGGCAAATTGACGACCCTTTCCATATCTGTTGGATGGTTTGCAAACAAATCATTGACCAACATCTGGATTGGTTAGATATGCATAAAATGCACAAGATCAAACTTGTCCCTGAATGTTTCAGGCATTCATATTTCTTCTTTCCAATAAACAAAAGAATACAACAACAATAACAAAATTATAAGTCCCAATTATTTGGGATCTGACTACATGGATCTTTTACCGTCAAAAAATAAAAAAATAAAATATTAAATAATAAGCAGACTTGTTAGTCCCAATTATCTCGAATCGACTACCTGATATTTTACTGTAAAAAAATAAATGAAAGAAACATTAAATAATAATGTAATGTTTTATCTATACATTTGAGAGTTTGGCTAGTTTAAGAAGTGCAATGCAAGAAGTGTTTCATTCTATTCGTGAGCAAAAAAATAGATATATTTCTATTTCAATGAGGTACTAAAGTATCAATTTCATTATAAAAACTCACCAGCATCTGAGTGGATAAAGTCGAGTTCTTGCCATCTTTCAGTCTGATGCACAGAATGGGAACACTTGGCTGTCGTCCTATGGCCAGATTTGTTCTGCATTTTGATTACCGAACAAAGGTCAGAAAAAGCAGCAACTCGAAGATGACTGATATCCAGCATAATCTGCAAGTGCTTCGAAGCCAGAAGAGCAACTGACCTTAACCTCTGTAGCACTGAAGTCGACCTTCACATGCCCTGCACCAAACAACACATTGATCAAAACATGGACCGGAGTACTTTTGCGAAGGCATTTGTGACATCTTTGGTGGAATCCTTGATAAACTCACCTGCAGGAAGTTGAAGATCGAAGTTCCTCCTATCGTTGGCACGCAATTCAAATGAAGTGTTCTGCATCCCCATCGATTTCGCCTGCGGATTGGTATCGAAGTATTAGAATCGGAAGATCTCCATGATTCACCCACCAATATCCCAACCCAAGGTTTTGGAACAAGCCCTAGACGGGCGCATCTTACCGTGGAGCAGCCATGTCGCACACTGCCGGCTTTTACCTCCTCCACCGGTCCCTTGCGTTCTTTCTGTGCCTCGAGAGACGATACGCGATCAGATCGTCTCCAGCGAACATCATTCATCAAATTCTTCTGCGTCCAATACAGGCGATGGAGCTCTCGCACCTACAAATCGGGAAGCCCAAACACCCCCTCGTGCTTTCAAGAAACCAAGAACAGAGCGAGAAGGGATTCATAGAAGCACAGAAAAGGGGAAACAAGAACCTGGTGCTTGAATAAGATCTCGTGCTGAATCATCGCTCGCTTCAGTTCCTCCTTCACGTGGTCCTCGTAGTCCGGTGGCGGCAAGTGGTTTAGGTCCAAAACACCTTTCGTCGACGCCATCGTCGTCGTCGTCATCACAGATACAAGCACTTCTTCACATCTCAAGAATCTCTTGTCAAAGACCCTAAGCTACCGTCGTGGAAGGAACAGAACAAAGCGACGAACCACGGAAGCGAGGGAGGAAGAAGAGTCTTCGATCTCCCATGAATGGAGGCATACAAAGAGAGGAGAGCGAGCGGCCGAAATCTAACTTTCGGCGCTCTTCTCTGCCGTTGCCGCCTGTGCCGTTGCTTTTGTTTCCCTTCCTTCCCCTTTCCTCCTTGATCCGCACCGTCGTCAGCTACTGCTCATGTTGTGATTACTGTCAAAGGAAACACCATCAAAAAGGAAAACATAAAGAGAGCTTTTGTCTTCCTCCTCCTCCTCCTCCGTCTGCTCCTGCAGTTACTCTACCTGGAAAAAGAGACAGGAGACGTTCATGTGCCGCGCGTTGGTTGCCGATTCTGCCCTTGCTCGAGCACCACGACTCCGGCTGCCTCTATCATCCGCGCTCCGCTTCCTCTCTCGCGGGGATCGCGACCGCAATCGGGATCGACTCCTGCTGTCACCGATCTCGAGGCGGAACGAGGAGCAGCCCAGCCTATCGCATCCCCGACACAAGCCTTCCTGGAACGAAAAAAGGATGAAGTGGCCGTGAATCAAGATTCACAGCAGCGCGACATGGTCGATCAAAGAAGCCGCATGTCATTGGTCTGTTGACAGAGACAGTAACAGGGGGGAGTCGACGACGTGATCGATGGCCATTCACAAGGTAAAACAAACACCATTCATCTGAAGTGCATGATGCCCGTCTGTTGTTTGTGGAATTTACCGGATCCAAAGAATCAACAGTAGCACATTTGTTGCTTGCTAGGACCAGTAGTTTGGCTATTCTCGCCAATTAGCATGTTCCAAGGGTGACAGACTTACGGTTCGGCTCAAAGGACCACGTCGACTTCCTAATTCTCACTCTGTAGCGAGACAGGACACCACACTATATGGCCGAACGAGAAAGCATCGCCCCATACATCAGGCGGTACGGCGGCTGCTGTGCGATGAACAGTGAGACGGGCGACGTCGATTTCGACCTGCAGAAGATGGACGTGGCTTGATGGAATCGTGAGAAACGTGGGTGAAGGAGCGAACGGTGATCGTGGAGCTCCAGCGGTTGGATGCCACTCGTTTCGGTCGGCGTTAAACGCGCGAGCCTCGTGGACGTGGCGCGCGCCACACAGTGGCACTCCGTACGGATTAGGACACGAGTTTGGGTGAGATCTCTCGTATATGAGCGCTTGCCCTTTTTCGTAATTGCAGTATACCTCATTATTTTATCTTTGATCGGAGCGGAGACGGGAAGAGTGAGACCATCTCATGTCACGTCACCGTGGCATGACATGTCGCAGCGCGATCTATATCAGGCACGGCGACTGTTTGATTGATTGCCCATGAGAGGGAGGAATCAGATGTGCGGGGACGTGGGACTCGGATCATTCCAATTCGACACCTACTCCGTCATGTTTCTGCTGCTCCTCTGCAGCAGGCTGTGCTACCATTGGGCGGTCGGTGTCAGGTCAGTGGTCCCTTCATGTAGCATCTTTATCGTGGAAGTTGACGTTATCTACTCCTAGCACAGGCGCACTACGCCAACTCTCTCTTCATGTTAATATATTGTCGTATTATTTTGTTGTATGGTATGTCAGTTAATATCTTGTTATGAGGATAGACGAGGTCGAACAAGAAGCCCCTCCTTCAAGAATGATCATATCTTTGACGTCTTTGATGACAAAGCCAATATATACATGAGTGGAGTGCATGTCAATCTTTATTATATCCTCTGATCTAATACCATGAAAGCTTCTCGGGTGGATATAAGGAATATAGATCATTTGTGTTAGTGATAATCTTTAAAAGAAAAAAATAAAGATGATATGATTATAAAAGTGATATATTCCAGTTCAACCAGAGGTGCAAAAAACAATTGTCAATGAGACTCCAAATCCAAAAACTCTTATATTTTCGTTCCATTGTCCAAGAATTATTAAAAAAAATAGAAAGAAAAAAGAATTCTATCATAAACAGAGTCCCAAAATAATAATGCAAAGCGATAATTAAAGAGAAAGTGAAAAGAAAAATCATTATTCAGGTGGCAAACTGAATAAAGTTCATGCTATCCGTGAAAGAATGACATACATTAATTGATATTTAGTAGACTAATCTAACACGATTAAGTAATTAAAAGGTCCACATTAACTATCTCTCCCAACGACCACAAATTATCCAGGTGGATCCAAAGAGATGTCTCTGGCTCTTTATTATGCATTGACTCCCCAACTAAGAGGCTATGACAAAACCATATTTAATCTAATATTAATTAACGAGTTGGATAGATAATACTTAATAAGGGCTCAAAATGACTCTACTCGGGTATAATGATCAATGCTTCAAGAACATTAATCGTCTGTAGAAATTATATGTAAGAATCACCTTCATGCTCTCCAAGTTACGTCTGTCATTCCTAATTGTTCATAATGATGTTGATAATGATCCTTTGCATCGTAGCTGAGGGGTCAGCACAGCTTGGTTCGGTCCCAGGTGCACGAGATTATCCACGTCGGTACTCAGGCGGTGGGAGTCGTCGTCCAATAGGGTCGGGCTCGGGCTTTGGCTTCAAGATATGGAGACTCTCCTTTGGTTGGTCGCCTTCCTCTCTATCGTATGTCGCTATACACAGGTAGGGGTCAAGAAGGAGACTCTCGACTTTGAACCCTTAGAAGATTTTATTAGAATTGGATGAAAAATGGGCCAAGAATTGATCCCTTGTCGTCGACCCCGCGATAGGTTTTTATCCTTTAGCCCGGGGACCGACCGTACCTATCATATTTATGGTTGTCGACCCATCGAGCAATGGGCTTACTCCTGGAGCAAATGCTGGGCATCCTCAATGCCATGGCGTCGAAAAGCAACGTCACACTCGATGTCGTCTCGATCTTTACGGGACGACGCTGTACTCGATCAGCGTCATCCCAATCTTTACGGGACGGTGTTGTACTTGGTTGGCATCATCCTGACTTTTGTGGGATGACGCTATACTTGGTTGGTACCGTCCCAACCTTTGTGGGGCGGCACTGTGCTCGGGCGACATCATTCCGCAACACCATCCCAACCTTTATGGGATGATACTGTGCTCGAGCGACGTTGTCCTGCAACACCGTCCCGATCTTTACGGGACGACATTGTGCTCGGACGAGATCGTCCTGACTTTTGCGGGATGATACTGTACCCGATCGGCACCGTCCTTCCTTTGCAAAACGGTGTTGACCGTGGGGCATGGAACGTTATATTGAACTTGAAGTTGATGTGTGTGGAGACGTCACTATAGAGCTTTACTCATCCAAATTTTTGCCTACTTGTTCCTGCAGATTACTAACTATGTTGAACATATGTCAAGTAAGAGCTTCAAACAGTGTCAGCCGATGCTCATTCTAATTTATCCCCATGCATTTTACTCCCAGTCAAATCTTGGATTCCAATTTGACCAAAGCAGTGCACATATTGGTAATGGGCAACACGAACTATTCCTGCAACAGATGCTCCGCATCTTGAAGCTCCACCTCCTCATTCTGACCCTCTCTGCTTGCTTGAAACAGCTCCTCAATCTGCTCCAAGGACTTCCCTTTGGTCTCCGGAACGCAGTAGAAGACGAATGCCACGGAGAGAGCAGATATGGCGGAGAAGATGAAGAAGGTTCCTGCGACCGTGATGGCACGGGACACGGACAGGAAGGACATGGCGACCAAGCCGCTGCTCACCCTGTTCCCCACTGCACCCAGGGCCGAGGCCTGAGCTCGCAGTCTCAGTGGGAAGATCTCGGTACTCAGCACCCAGCAGATGGGACCGATCCCCACCGAGAAGAAGGCCACATTCCCGCAGACCGCAACGATGGCCAGCCCGATCCCTGCTGCCGGTGAGATCAGCCCCGTCCCATGGTGATTCAAGGAGAGAGCGACGCCTAACAGGAACAAGCACAGCGTCATCCCCATGGTGCTGGCGTACAGCAGCGGCTTCCTTCCCACTCTGTCGATCAAGAAAATGGCAACCAGGATGAAGCAGGTCTTGGTGACCCCGACCGCGATGGTTGCAGCAAGCAGCTCGCTGTCGGACTTGATCCCGGCGTCGCGGAATATGGTCGGGCTGTAGTAGACGGTGGCGTCGATGCCGGTGATCTGTTGGAAACACTGGATGCCGCAGCCAACGATCAGCATGCGGCGCAATGAAGGCGAAGGGCTCAGGAGCTCCTTCCACACAGCTTTCTCCTCCCACTTGTTGGCGGTGGCAGCCCCAGCCGCCTTCTCTATCTCCGCCAGTCGCCGCTCCACCTCCCCCTCGTCCTCGATTATCTTCGAGAGCACTGATCTCGCCTCCTCCGCCCTCTTCTGCATCACCAACCATCTCGGGGATTCTGGGATCACGAACAGCGCGAACCCGATGAAGACAGACGGAAGTATGCCGACGCCGAGCATGATCCTCCAGTTGACGTGTTCCGAGAAGCCGGAGAAGGCGTAGTTAGAGATGTAGCCGAGAAGAATCCCAAGATTTATGAAGATCTCCGGGAAGGAGGTGAGGGATCCCCTGGCAGCGGCGGGAGATATCTCTGCGATGTAGACGGGCGCGATCATGACGCCGAAGCCTATCCCGACGCCAGCGAGGAGTCTTCCCATCATCAGCACTGGGAAAGAAGGAGCGAGCGCCATTATAGCGGCGCCAATCTGGAAGATGATTGCGGCGAGAGCCATGGTCCACTTTCTGCCCACGGCATCCGACGTTCTGCCGCCTGCTAGGCTACCCAGCAGCGAGATGATGCTCAGACATCCCACTAGAACTTCTTCTTCGACCTCCGTGATGTGAAGATCTTTTTGGATGAAGAGGATAGCTCCGCTCATGACGCCCACATCTGCAAGATGCAAGCAAGAAGCGTCACCGGAAGAAATCGAGCTAACGTTTCAGGACCCAAATCCAAGTACTGTTACATACTAAAGTGACAGCAAATATGGCATAATAAGAAGAATTATGATCGAATTTAGCAATCGAAAAAGAGATTAAAGAACAATGAAACTGTTCTATCCATCAAGCAAAATAGATGAAGCAGGAAGAGGGATGAAGAAGGATATCCATGTCCTCGATGCAAGCAGCATGTGACGCTGCTTTCATAGATGAAAAGGACCGAGAAAGTATGACCAAAAAGATTGAAGTCTCCCTGTTGACCAACTAGACTCGTAAATTTCAAGTCGAACCAACCTTGACTTCGTCTTGGCTGGAAATGTGGCAACGAACAACGATGTGGATGGAGAGAAAAAGATGCGATCTGTTTCGGACAGCAATAGAACCAAATAACAATGATAATGGTAATGAATGGAAATGAGGATGCCACCATAGCCAAGAAGAACGGAATTAAGGGAGGCGAAGAAGGCGCAGGTGCGGACGTAAGTCTTGCCATGGCTCTCCGGACTCTTCCTCCTCCTCCCGGCGAACGCTTCGTCATCCTCTCCCTCCTCGGCGACATCCACGCTGTGGTACTTGGCCTTGCTATCGACCTTGCCGTTGCCAATAGCACGAGGACTGCTGACGCCCATCATATCCACCACTCTCTGCGAGAGATCTCACAGCCGATGACCTCAGGAGGAGGAGGAGAGAGAGAAAGAGATGGAGTTGCTCCAGATCTAATAGAGGAAGGGGGAGCTGTAAAGCTGGCTTCTC